TGGCTTCAGTCAGACAGAGCCAACTCGGGCTGAGAGGGATGCAACATCCCACTGATTTCCAGCAGAAAGACCCGAGACACTCGATAAAAATCCTCCCCACGCAGGAATCGAACTCGGGTCTCCTGTGTGTTACAGATAAAACCAAGTCACCACAGACACATTTCTGTTGCGCTTCGTTATAGTGACTGGACCATCAATAATTTATTCTACAGAGACACCAGCCATCCATGTCTACGTAGTCTACTGTAGCCTTCATCATATTAATAGTGATAGAATCTGAATAAATTCCGTGAATAGAATCTCACATTATCATATAACCGGATCTAGATCTACAGTATTGTACCGATATTGCAAATTTGAAACAAAATTATGAACATTGAAAACGGCATTTTAAATCCGCTACAGTGGGCCGGGACTGACGGGACCATTGTGTATTCGGGTCAAAATTACGGATTTTGAAATGAGACGTGGGCAGTTTTGGTTTCTTCAGCCTCTCTTACGACTATTTCATCGCATACCCTAAAACATTATTTTTCAAATACATGACGTACCACGTATGTTGGTCACCAGCATTTGCTCATTAGGTAAATCTTTTATACATTTTTCTTTGTCGCACGTTTTCTCAAAACTCCATCATTTTTCTTAATCCAATCTTCTTGAAATCTCCACAGAATGAAGAGAAGATGTAACACTAAATATTTTTCTGTTGAATAAACAATGTAATATCATAATAGATTTTTGTAGGTGCTGTCTGGAGTGTGGATTTTCAATGATTTTTTGCAAACTTGAATACCACCTCAGGAAAAAAAAATATTGTGCACATTGTAAAATTCAAATGGCAAGTTTGTAGATCTATTGTTTGCTAATAGTAATAATATGCAGGCAGAATAACAACCTATTTCCATGAAAATTAAGCTCAGCATACATTGCACAAGAAGTGTCAACAAAGTCCAATATGGCCCCTGTCTCCATGGCAACGAAACTTTTTTCTCAAAGTAATATGATTGCAGATTTCAAGACTCCTTAGTATGCTTGTTATATTGTAAAATTTTGTAAAAATTTGTGCACTTGTAAGCGATATGAAATAGCTTTCAGGTATAACACCCCCCTCCCCCCCCCCCCAAGAAGAAGGCCAAGCTCACACATTGACACTTAAGATTAACGAATGTGATAATACATGTATATATATATATATATTGTCTACTTCATTATAATATAACTTTATTTACATAATGTATTTTTTAATCTGCGGCGTATTCCATGCTCTACAAAGTCTACTTGACAGCATGTTCTGAGCGCTTTACAAAACTAGGCCTCGCTATTCGTAATCGAATAAAGAGTTGCCACAGTTAGGGAAAAGTAGGCCTACTCAGATAAGGTCAAAACCAAAAGGTACCAGAGAAATTATGACAAGAGCTCAACTTTTCTTAAAAATTGAAATTTTAAAAAATTGTAAATGTTTTTGCACCCCCATCAACACAACTGACATTCTTTAGGAGGCGGGCTTCCTACCCGGCCTGTCATCGCCAACCCAGGCTGAGAGGGATACAACCCAGTAGAAAGACCGAGATACCCAATAAAAATGTTCTCCCCGCTTTAGGATCGAACTCTGGTCTCATGCATGCGACAATGCCGCGTTCGTATATATAAATGCTGGTCTCAGTTTTGTTTCAAGAATAATAGATAGAATGAGAAGAACCCCAATACGGTAGTAAATTGACAGGAGATATCCCCCCCACGCCCCCCTTTCTACTTCTTCTACTTGTGCAGCCTCTCTAAACTGGACAGTCTCGTAAATTAATACTAAGGGACCTTTCGCAAATGACGTCAGCTCAAGAGGGGGGGGTTTCAAGTGAAAAGTCGACAAAAGTTGACATGAGGGGGGTAAATTTTAGCTGACGTCATTTCTGAACGGTCTCTACTGTAAATTATGAATTTGAAGTTCAGTTGCCAAAAGAAGAAGGAAAAAATACGATTTTTAAAAAACCTCACCTCTCTCCTCTACCCCAGCCCAAAGAAAAAATAATCTGCGCACAACCAAGATCTATGGGTGTTTGGACTGTGGGCACCACTGACAGGTCTTACACTAAAGTACATGAACTACGGTACCTTCCGTCTGCCTGTCTTACTTTTCTCCAGCAACAAAGATCATTACTGTGTCAATGCAGTGTGCTTCTCTTTACTCAAACATTTCGGATCTAGACGTCTTTGTTCTTGTGCTGTCAAGAAAGAAAAAAGAGTGACGGCATCCCAGCAGAAAGTCTGCGATTCTGACAGAAAAAAAAACACCTCTTGGGAATCTAAATTGGGCATGCAAGGTACAGACCCTTTAAAGTTTAAACCAGTACGCCACAGATGCCATTGCATGAAGATTTGGACAAAGAGACGGTGTATATTGTGGTGTCCGTGGCTACCGGACTCGTAATAGAGAGGTTGCGGGTTCGGGGTTCAAGCCGCGGGCCCGATGTTGGGTCCTTGGGAAAGACACTTTACACAAATTTTCCCCACTTCACCCAGGTGGGAATGGGTACCCAGCTATAGAAAGTGAAAAATCTTGTCTGTTAGTGTTTGAGCACTTAACCGGCTGCTTGCACTGTACGCTTCCCGGGAAGCTGAGGATGTTTCCGAGTGTTCTATGGTCTGCTGGGGTAATAATATAGTGTAAAGCGCATAGACTAGAGCTTACTTTCGAGCGGGGATATGTGTATTACAAATGCTATTTATTATTAATACTGCTAACATTATTCACCAAGAAAACCTCAAGGCAATTAAAAACTAACAAAAACGAAAACTACATCGTCTTTCATGAAATTTTATTACTGATCAAGTTCCAAAGTTGTCCAAGAACGGGAGCGTTTTGTTCCTTTTTACAGCCAAAAAGCACTAGTGCTCAGGAATTAATTTTGGAAATACAATGCAACCAACTACACGTACATGCATCCTAGTGGTAGAAAACCTAAATCAAGAAGCAAGCAAGACACGTGTCCAGCAAATAGCTTGGCATGTCGGCTCTACAGATCCTGTTCTGAACAAGCCAACATCATCACGGATGAGGGGGCGGGGGGAACAGAGAAATGCAACAAAAGATGACATTATTTATGCCTATACAGATGCTTGCAACTATCAAGCTTTTCTCCACTTTTCCATACCCACTTGTTGAAAGACAAAATTAGGATCAGTCCACCCCTCCCTCCCACAAAACACACCACTTATATTATTAATGTACAATAGTTTCGATTTCCAGTCCTACCCCGTCTCTAACGATCCCTCTCTTTGTGTCCCCCCACGCACAATCTATCCCTGGGAAGGATGGGGGGGGGGGGGGGGGGGGGGGTCAAGTGAGAGAGCTCGGGGTGCCACAAGTCACGAGGTTCCCAGAGCCCACCAGACAGTAGCCACAATTAAGCATCACATGGACCAGCAACAACAACAGACTTATTATTGCTACTGCTACAACAAAAACAAGAGACCAGCACATCATGGTGATGAGATCTCCCCCCATCCCAACTCTAGGAAACCCCGCAGCGACTGAGAGAGTGGCACCCCCCCCCCCCCCCCCGGAGAGAACGTGGAGTCAAAAGCTTAATAAAGCAGCCATGCATGCAAAGATGTGCTGAGCGAGCGGCCCAACAAGAGGCAACAGAATATGACATCAGCCCATGAGCAATACCCAACAACACTACTTCCCAGGAACTCAATTTAAAAAAACAAAAAAACCCCAACAAAAACCAGACAGTCACTGCAATATATAATAATAAAACAAGCGAGTCATCGTGACCATGGACACAACGAGGATCTTATGAAAATATGACTTGCATCTGATCTCATCTATTGATCTGTACAACCAACAAACAAATTGCCAATGCACAAAATACAGCAGCAGTTACACATGCCGGGTTTAATTGTGTTCGAAAAAACATCAGTTCAAAAGCCAGAGAAAATCATGAGAATAATGTCATGATTAATCCTCCAAGTGTCATAGGTTCAATTACGTGGGACCAAGGAATCCTGATCGTTTTCACGTCAAGTGACAAAAAGTCCTTGGAAAACTATTTTTGAAATCCATTTCTAATTGACTCGTATACATAATTTCTTAACCTGAAAGGCTTGGCAAAAAGGGAAAAAAAAATAACTGTCCACCTATTTTTACAGATTGAAAGTATGCATTTCAACGAGCGGTAGAAAGAAAATGGCTGATTAGTTCCTTGTGAACCAAATAACAAAAACTAGTTGATCCAGTAAGAACATTTCGACTACAAGAATGTGCAATGGCAACCCTCCTTTTTTTAAAACACAATATCGGTGTTGAAAGAAATGACACATGCCTCCATCAACATAATTTAGATCCTGCCAGGACCAGTCAGGATGAGTTTTCGGTTTCCATTACAGTCTCACCTCAATCTTTTGCCCCCTGTGGGAAAAGAACTCTCCTGTGCGGACTGAAACGGGACTGATTTGGTGATTTAACAAAAGGAGAAGTGAATCCTAGATAGCAGCTCAATTGCTGACAAACTCACGGCTGTGACACAACAGCCTGGACACTTGGAGGGTTAATTATATTGCCCAGTTTGTGCAGGATACATTCTACATAACATAACACCTGGTGGACTGTACACACACCAGCATTGACTACGCAGGAAGGATTTCATGCACAGCGGCATTTTATTTGCGTACCAGGATGATTTTCAAAGCTCTCCCAAAAAATGATTAAAAATAAATAAATTAATGATGGTAGGAAAAAAAATATATCGCTAACAGCGGAGGCACCAGGGGAAGAAGGGGGTGGGGGGTGGGGGTGGGTGTTTTCTTTCCTTCTTTTCTGATCAAGGTTGTCAGGTTGTAGTTTATATACGATCGCGATGTTGTCATCGCCTGGGTCTTTGTTACATTGCCAAGGGTCACACTACGCGCCGACACTGTTGACGCCATGAAATACCATGACAGCTGGGATGTGGGTGGGTCGAGAGCTGGGTCCAGGCTTCTGAGGGTCATCGTCAAGGTAGATGGTATGTGGAGGTGGGGCAGTTGGTGGATGTCTGGGGGTTCGTTAATCGTAGTAGTAGAAGTAGTGACTGTCGTCTCATCCAGCAGTAGCAAATATATGACAGAAGAGGCAAGGAAGAACAACGGGCACACAGAGGCTCTGACCAGATGAGCCCCCCCCTGTCCTGTGTGGTGGTGGTGGCGGTGTTTGATGGTGAAGGAGACAAAAATCTTTGGTGTGCCAACGCAGAAGAGAGAGCCCACTCACTGGATCAGCAGCCAACACCCCAGCCCGAGGGGACAAAGGATGCGTGTGTGCGAGGAGAGAGCACGAGTGCCACTTGGCTGGCTGGGAAGGGAGGCCCATTGAGCAAAAATTGTACACTCAACGACCCAACCAAATGAGGGGGGATGGTGGGGGGAGAGAGAACATTCGTAGCCGTGGTGAAGTCCTCTCACAGTTCATTATAACATGGCTTGGTCAGTCCAGTCATCTTTCCAGTTGGGGTCGGGGGGTCAGTTGTCCGGGTCGTGTAAAAAGGCAGAAGGTCATCGTCGGTGCTCTGTCCAGGTACAAGCAGAGCAGTCGGAAGGCGGCCAGCAGAACATTCTGGCAGACAAGATGGGCGGTGTCGGGAACTTGATGGGAGACAGGGGACAACAGGCTCTTCGCAGGGTGCCGCATAAGCGAGTGGAAGAGAAGCCCACGTACGACGCGACGTGTTGGAAGGCCAGGGATCAAGCACAAATTGGCATGTGCCGCGCACCTGTGACGATCCCCAGTTCAAGAAGTAGTAGTCTAGTGTCTTAAGTCAGTCACTACTTTGTACAGTGTCTTTGGGGTCAGTTTGCGTCTACCAACAGTCGTCAAAACTTGAACCCTTCCTGTGGAATCTGTGCGTTGGGGTCAAACTGGTAGCCCTCTTGAGAAGCCTGAGGCAGGAGTGATTCCTCTTGATCCTGGGGAGAGACAAGCATTTTGACACATGAGGTCTTGCCTTTAAAAAAATCAATCCCCCAAAACACCCTGTTCTAAAAATACCCCCCCCCCAAGGAGCACAACTTCATACAAAATAAGCCAGAATAAATAAAAATTGTATAAAAAACAACCACACATAATAGAATTATCAAATTAATTGAACCAAAGATTTCATTTAAATAGCAGTCAATGTTTCTGGACCCATTCCTATTTTCTGGTTGGTCAAGGATGATCTAATGATCATTTCTATTTAGTTCTAACTTCGTTTTTGCCATCTGACCAAACCACTAAATCCTTCTCAATGTCTGATTTCTCCATCTGACCAGGCATTAGCCCGAGTTCATGCAATCCTTCCCTTTTTCTGTTCCAATAATGTCTTATGTTTCAAAAGAGATCGACAATATGTACCTATTTTTAGATTCAAATTCAATTTGGGGGGAGGGGGAGACAGAAATTCATTACCCCCCCCCTGATTTAAATGATTGCAACTTTCTGGTTAGTTGATGACCAATTAAGAAAATATTTGCAGCAACAAGAACATCATGCCAAACTGAATACAGCGGAAACCATATATAACAGGCCCGGTAATAACAGGGATTTTTAAAATCCCCGTTTTTTCCTACTCTTTGTCTCTATTAAAAGTTATCGGCAATAACAGGGCCTCATCGGAGCCCAACCGGTTATAGCATGATGATTGATTGATTGGGTAGATGTTTTACGGCACGATCGACACAATTTCCGGTTATAGCAGGGACAAAGGCTCGTTACAATGTGTAAAAAGTAAGAGAGAGAGAGAGAGAGAGAGAGAGAGAGAGAGAGAGAGAGAGAGAGAGAGAGAGAGAGAGACAGAGAGAGAGAGAAACACAGTGATGGAGCAAGCCCACGAAAGCCATGCCACAGCGAGCACACGCAGCGTGTGAAGCGAGAGAGGGCTGCGGTGTGCTGCAGACCTCGATCTAGCCTGAAACCTAGCAACACACACGCGTTATGTGTCACCAACGATGTCAAGCGAAAAGAGAAAATGCCTTTCAATTGACAAAAAATACGAAATAATCCAGGCTGTTGACAAAAAGCAAGCTCCACTGGCAGAGATTTGTCGTCAGTTCGACATTCCACAAGGGTCGATTCACACCATTATCAAGGATAGAGAGAAGATAGTGGCAGCATACTCCAATGGAAAGTTTGCTCTGGATCGAAAGAAGATGAGACTACCCGATGCAGATGCTGTGGACCAAGCTCTTCTGATGTGGTTTAAGGAGGCAAGGAGAAAGTTAGTGCCAAAACCCCTGTACATGGGTACTTGTGACAAAGGAAACTACCCATGAATAAGTACAGCTGGATTAGTCCACAAATGCTCACTTTCCTTGCATTTCTGATTTAACAGGGATCGGATATAACAGGACATTTTCTCTACTCCCACCATCCCTGTTATATCAGGTTTCCACTGTAATAACATTCTGATAATGCCATTTAATGAGATTTCATTTATAATGGAGAGAAAATGCAGATCACTGAAAAACACCCGTGAGAAGTTATCAGGCAACTATTGTCGATGTAGGGGAAGGTTTGTGCAAAGGTCGACTTTGGCTGGCATGGGCAGAAATAGGTAAAAAAATATTCAGTGGAGTCTTTGCTAATGAAAATGTCCCTAAGAAAATCAGATCAGAAATGAGCAACTCCAAATTGTAAAACAGGGCAAAACATAGTTACGGTAATTCACTTGCTGCTGGCCATTTTCAGGCTCAATATCCAAAGAACGCCAGGCATTTTGGCATTTATTTTTAAATACCATTGTGACATTATATACCACCCAACAATTAACCTCTTTGCTGCCGCGCCCGTAGAATTTACAGCGTCAGATTCAGATTTTAGCTTGAAGAGAAGATAAGGTCTAGATCTAACACATCTACAAAACTGGCAGTAAACACAGAGGGGCTTACATGTATTTATTATGGACTGTATGAGCATTTTATAAGGTAGGAAAAGCCTTTTATCACTTCCTCTACTTTATCTGCAAAAACTCACACAACATGTATTCTCCTTTTTTGGGGTCTCAGTTTATCATTACTTGAATGTGCATTGTTGTTTGATGGTATTGTATTTTGGCATCACGCTACTAACTCCAACTATTCTCCATCTGTCTTTCAATGAAATCCCCCCAAAGTTATAACAATAGAAACGTGGTTCAATAAAGAATGTACATGCAGAAATTCATGAGGAAATATTCCTAAATAAAAAAATTATGCGAGGTACAGTGGGGTCACCCCTAAGCAGCCTTGGTTTATGGGATTTCCCCCGACACAGGGGCCTATTTACCTGTGACATTGAAGAGGTTAAAACAAATGCACAAGAAATTTTAAGATATCTTTAACACCCCCCCCCCCCCCGAAAATACTACTAACCATAGATCTAGTTCACTGTCACTAGTCAAGTCCCTACAGCCTTCCACTAGCCTCTACTAAACTCTGAACTCTCTACATAACTTGGATCAGCATCACAAGAAAAGTCTAGATTCAACCAGGCGCATTGAAATAAGATTGGTCCATCAGTACCAAAATGCTGCAGACTGCAACCGACCCAAAATGCGTTTTAGGTCGCCCAAAACAAAAACAAAATTTAAAAATTAAGTTATCAAGGGATGTAACTCAAATACTGCTCAATCGACTCGAGAAAGAGTCACATATCTGTGAAGACTAACCCCGAAACCAGGGGGTTAACCACCCCCCCCCCCACCACCTACGACTGAGGGGTTTCAGTAACGACAGTAACCCATAAATCGATATCCCCCCAAAACATGAGTGAGTTAACAGAAGTCAGATAAAAAGCACATATGTGTCACGACGTTGTGGAATCAGGCGCTGGTCAATTTTTCGACATGTGGAGTTATCGGTATCATTTTAAAGCTTGTTCATTTATGTTACTTTCTATGAAAAAATACTCATATATCTTGAACAAAAGTTGAAATATTTGCAATTGAAGAAAGCGGGGGTCGCCTGGTGTCGGAGGAAAATTTAGCGAGAAAATGGCTGCCAAAGTTTGACGACTTCTAAAGCTTTGCAGTCCTTAGAAACTATGTAAATTTTCATTTTCGTGCCTTAAATCAACATTTTTCCGTAAAATCCACTCAGAAATGTGTTTATAAATGGACTTTAATTCGAAGAAAATTGCCAAACGTACAGAAAAATGCTAGTTTCTTTTATTTCACTATTTTGACGAGCCCCTGATTTCACGATGCCCCACACATATATATATAATACATGACAATGCAAAACAAAACCAAAACTATAGAAGCTTACAGTGACGTGAGATGCCATCAACTATTTCTTCCCATCCCTGAAGTAGACAAAACGGACAGAAGCAATAACCTACCAGGATTTTAGAAACATCAACAACTACCACCGAAGACGATCAAACATCATTCATGAGCCATCCCACTCACAACACTTTTTAACTCACTGACTACACTTCCTGTTACTGGTACGGGACTGACTTTGCCATCTTGTTTCGAAACCTGTGCTCTCGTCACACCATGTATGGAAACAGACTCCAGTGCTAGTTTTACCACTTCTTTTGTTTCGTGCTGAGCTTGGCGGAAGTAGCGCAGTAAGTTTTTAAGTAATTGAAGGTGAAGGACAGTCACCCCAATTTAACCCTGGAAGCGCACAGGCCCTATATAAAGGGCGTGAGCTGGGCTACCCGGGAAGCGCGCAGGCCCTATATAAAGGACATAGACGATGACCCTTTTCAATGGAAAATTTCAGTATTCCTTTAATGGAAAAAGACGTAGTAATTTACAGGTCAAAGTTTAAAATACTGACCAACGATTTTGCAAGATATCTTGACATCATAGAGCGTCTCTTGGCCAAGATATCAAATACACGCTATGTGTTATCACTTGTTCCCCTGTGCTAATGTACTAATTGTTGAGTTTATCACGTTTTGCGCTTTGTATTCATTTATTGATCGCTTATTTTTGTATAGCTCATTCTTTCAGTAGTAGGTATACATCTTGGGTATCTCAGCTGATATTCCCCTGCCAAACCCCCATGTTTACAACCGGTGAAACGCTGAGCGCTTCTAGGGTTAAGTTGAACTGACCGAAACTAGCGCTGTTTAAAAAAAAAAAAGATTTGATAGTCCTGTCGAAGTAAGGGTAGAAGAAGTCGCAGGAACAAGAATCACTTATTTTCGCCATTTTCTATGCTTCTGTGTTTATTTTACTAGTACTAGTGACTAAGAATATGATGTGTCTGATAGTTAAGACCCTGGACATGTACCCGAACACTGCCAGAGTCGTAGTTTTATGGCTAGATCTAACACTAGTACTGGTGCTGTTGTTAGCACAACGAAATTACAACTTCGTGCCCTACATCTGTCTCATGTAATTCAGTATATGGGTTTGCATCAATGCACAGCCCAGCTTTAATATTTTCACCAGACACTCACACATGCATACAAATCAAAACAACACTTTGAGCTATTATTTTTCTTATTGTTGTGAATTTCATTTTATCTGGCACTTATGTGGAATTTTTTTTCTTTGGAAAACCAAATTCATGCCAATTTGTTAAAAATCATAAAAATTCAAGTATTCGACTAAGACTGCTTTTGTTTGTTGTAATAGATTAAGCTTGAACGTAACTTTATTATGTTTAAAAATCATTACTATATGGTAATTTTGAGAGTTGCACAGTTTTGAAACGCCCCCAAAATGCCAGTGTTCAGCATTAGTGACTGGTGAAAGGGCCCAGTAGTCAGTGAGTTAAAAAGAATAAAACAAAAGTGTATCAACAAAGACACAAGCAAATTGTTTTGGGAAAAAAAACAAGCAAGACATAACAGAAACAACAAAGGGAGAAAACATGTAAAACCTATCTGGGACACCCCTCAATCCATCCACACACATGTGACAGCAAAGTCACTCAACAGAATAAAACAAGGGACTTCATCAGATAAAGAATAGCTTACCTCATCCTGGAAGAAACTATCAATGATCTCATACGACAGTTTGTAGATCTCTTCATTTTCATGATTCTGTAGGTTTTCAATCTTGTCCAGGCCTGCAAGAAAAAACCCAATAAACCCCATTAATAGGATCAATGATGACTATGCAATCACTGGTGAACATCCTGAACTTAGATGGTGTGCTGTGACAACAAGAGAAAAAGGCCATGAAACTTGCATTCTGGGACTCGTTGAAAGGATGAGAGTCCCCATTTATTTTCAGTCATTGAAATCAATAAAATTCCATATTCACTTAACACTTAAAGAAGGAACTTGGGACCATTGTAGTTGCTTGCACAACAAACGATAGATGTTTAATAGGCAAGGAGGAGCAAACAAGACGAGAGCGTCCAGCAACCACCCACCAACAGCAATGGAAAAACCAAAAAACCTGCTTGGTGGTACATCACCATGACAGACGCATTGAAATGTATAAAATACAAACAGTCTTTGTGAGATGAGAGATAAGTTTATGAACTATGCATGAGAAAATAGCCAAGTAGTCAGTTACCTCCACACTCTTCAATAATTTGGCAAATCTGATCCACGTCCTCTCCAGCCATTTTGAGTATGTTGTTAATCCCATCTAAGACTACATTGACCACTTGAGCATCCTTCACTGACAAGAGATTGCAGAAGGGGGGCAGAACTCCCATCTCAACCACATAGGCCACCTGAGGAACAGAATGCAAGTCAACAATAAAAGTTTTCTTAAAATCAATGTGAAAAATTAGAGCTCTTTCTACTACAAGAAAAATTTTGAAAAATTGCCCATTCTTGGACATCAAGACAAAGGTTGACCTTTGACAATAGTGACTTTATCATTCACCCCTATACTGTTAAATTTTGGCCAGGTCAAAGTTTTAAGCCAGCTTTAACGAAAGTGTCCTGCATTAAGCATTTAAAAAAAAGTTTTGAACATTAATTCACCGAAACGTGTCAGATCCATAGATTATTGAAAGGAGCATAACTGCACGTAATCAAATAGGTCAAAAGATAAAAGTCGACTCAGCCATATCATGATACAAAAACAGGTGAACATGCACAAGAAACAACATCAAACTCACTAGTCAGTTTTTGTTTTTAGTAAGTTTTAAAGCGTTTTCAGCACAATCAAGTCATCTAGGTGCTGAAGAAGAGAGGTGTTACAAGAGGGTAACAAGCACACAGAAGAAGGGCAAATACGGATAATAGATGACCGATAAGAAAGAATGAGCGAACAAACCACTTGGTCAGTTTTATGGGTATTCTATAATCTTAATGACAACAAAAAGAACAGTAACCAAGCAGTAGACTGCCTTCTAAATGTCATGCTTTTTCTTGTAGCCAAGAATTATGACACAGTGATACAACCATGTTAAAAAATAAAAGAAACACAGCATCACAAAACTGTAAGTCTTGATCGCCAATTACCTGTTCTTTCTTGCCGCTGATAGTCAAGTTACTGATAGCCCAGGCTGCTTCTTTCTGAGTTTGGAAATCACCCTGCAACAAATGAACAGAAACAAACATTATGCAGACCAGATTATAATTATACACAAGAAAATTTGATTTGATAAAACTAGCTGGCTATGTTTTAGTTTCTAGTGTACCATGACTATTCAGAAAAAAAGCAGAGGTCTGTAAAATGATAACGAGTACCATGTCCATTTCTTGTCATTTTTTTCTTCTTCTCTAAATTATGTTGCAGTAATTCCACGAGAACAACAAGGTACAGATTTGAGCTGAAAATAGAGCAAAAACAAACTAAAACACAACTTCTCTTTAAGTAGACAGTTTACTGTGAGTTTGTACAACGGATGCCACATTCTACCTGAAAAGCTGACAAGAATATATGAAGCGATACCAACATTCAATAAGCCCCCTACCCTAGTTATTACATAGCTGATGCTTTAACTCACTGACTACGGTTCCCGCCACAGGTATGGGGCGGACGGTCGGTTCATAGGTACGGATCCCGTACCCTCGACGGGATGGACTCCAGTGCTAGTTTTGCCACTTGTTTCGTTTCATGCCCAGTTTGATGGAAGTTTCGTGGTAACTTTTTAAGTAATTGAAGGTGAAGGGCAGTCACCTCATCTGGGGTTGACTTGACCGGAACTCGCGCTGTGTTTTTTCTATACAAATGATAGTCGTGTCGAAGTAACAGTCGCATGAACAAGAATCGCACAATTTAGCTATTTTCGATATTTCTGTTCGTTTTGCTAGTTCTAGTGACTCAGGATATGATGTGTCTGATAGTTAGGACCCTGGATATGTACCCGAACACGGCCCAAGTCGTAGTTTTAAGGCTAGATCTAGCACTGGTGTTGTTCGCGCGAAGAAATCACAACTTCGTTCCCTACATCAGTCTCATGTAATTCAGTGTATGGGTCTGAATAAACGCACAGACCAGCTTTTATATTTTCACCAAACACTCACACATGGATACAAATCAAAACAAAACACTTTGAAATTTTATTTTTGTTGTTGTGAATTTCATTCTATCTGTCACGTCTCTGGAAATTTTGTTCGAAAAATCAAATTCATTTCAATTTTGAAAAAAATCATAAGAATTAAAGTATTAGACCTAGAGAACTTAAATATTTTGCAATACATTAAGTTTGAAAGTAACTTTAATGTGTCAAAAAATAATTACAATAAGGTAATTCTGAGAGTTGTGGTGGTGTTTTGAAATACCCCAAAAAATGCCAGTACTCAGCGCTAGAGACTGGTGAAAGTCAGTGAGTTAAAAAGATGTCATCTTAAAAAAAACTGTTCACAGCTTTTGAAAGCAAAGACAGACTGGTCTTGTGAGAGAGTGAAAACCCATTTGTCTACAAAAACAGTTACACTAGTCTTATCTCTCCTGGGTGAAAGTACAGACAGACTAGCCTAATGAGTCCCAGTGAGAGAGGCTAATGATATGTACTCACTCTGTTGAGATGGTGGATAATCAAAGGGATGAGGCTGGCGTCTATCACAGCCTGCACCTGTTGCTGATTCCCAGCTGTGATGTTGGACAAGAACCAAACTGCTTCCTGGGGACGGGAAATACCGTGTGAGTATGAGGAAAGACAAACCACCCACACACCATAAGTGATTTAGTACTGGGAGGAAACAAACAAGCAAGACAGACAGAAACGAGTGAAGGAGAGTAAACAAGAAGAACAAGTGGTGTCCAAACCCTGCTTGAGAAACTTCTCAAGTGTAGCAACACACAACTACAGATGATTTAACACTTTCCATCCACGCAACACCTGTACCCACGGACCAGAATACAGATGCGGTACATCAGTACTACACCTGTTTGGTTTTAGTAAAGGTTTTACACAGTGCTTGCAACTGCATAAGGTCATATGAGCGCCTAAGGGTGGATGTCAACAGAGAAGTCCTTACATTAGGTACCGCAGACGGCCCGTTTTCAAGGCAGACAGCTACGACTGAAGCCAGATTTGGACAAATTCATCCAACTATTAGCTGGTTTTAATTTTTGTAAACACCAATAAAAATGATACCACTGTTTTCTGTGTCTTTCCTTCTCCATGACGAACGAGAAACTGACACTTATGATTGCATATTTAGTTTTTAATTGACTAAAGTTTAACACGGAAAAACTCGTCCGTCTCGCAATTTTGGGCACTTACATTTGGGGGGTACTTGTTTAAAATTTCGATTTCTCAGTCGTGAATCATAGAATTTTCTTGCGGTTTGAAACATAAAAACCTGGGATTTCAGGAGAATGTGTTTATATTTCTATTCCGAGCGGAAAGCATGAGTGGTACGATGTAAACATGAAGAAAGCATTTTAAAATATGAAATTCGACACAAATCGGGCTATCCATGCCAGGATCATATTCCTAGACATCTCTACCATCTAGTTTATGTGTTTAGAAAAGCCAACTACGTTCCACGAAGTAGAAATATTACTTTTTCTGAAGTGGGGTAACAACCACTTTCGGGAGATCGTCATTCTGCCATTGCGGCTGTTCCATCGCCCATTGCCACCCCCATCTGACTTGACCCAACCAGCAGACGATTATATGATGGTTCAGAAAAAGAAACATTCGATAGATCTGTTTATGGCGTCAATTTATGTAAGTGTTATCATAATTTTCTTTTAGGATACTTATGAATATCGTGTTTTGAAAAATACGACTAATCGGCCATCACTTGCCGTGTGAATGGATTGTTATTGTTTGGTGGGAATCACGCCGACCTACATTTCCACCACCTCACAGTGAATTAATTGCGATCTATACAAATGTATCGCTTCGTGGTGGTATTTTTGCTGTCTTTTCAACTAAGAACACCTTATTTATTATTCTAAATGCATCGAAATCTAAGCAGCTCTGGTCGACAAAGTGAAAGAATAAAGCCATGAAGAGTTGAACTGGGAGTTCTATTTATAGTAACATGTCATCTCACACAACTAAACACTCGAATTGGAAGGGGGTTACCGGGTGTTAGTGTTACCGAGGGAAATATTCGTAGATCTATTGTTTGGCATTTAATTTGGTAACAAAAAAAGGCTAGATCTACGCTCTTGATTGGTGGATACTCAATGATTGAATCAACCAGCCTTTTTACGTATTCTTAGACATAGTTAGACTTAGATGTCACCTGATAATTGGAGAAATAACCCCCCCCCTCTTTCTTCCATCCACTTACTGGACATACGATGATACACTGTATTTCCCCAGCCACTGGTTTCTTTCTCAGCAAAAACGATAAATAAATCTAGAACTAGATCTCTATATTATACAAGATGAACCACGGTAGAACAATATGTTGATTTAATTCCAATTTTTAAACCCCCTGAGCAGAAATCTTAATTTTATGAACCAATATTGATGACTTTTTTCACATTATATTGTCCATTTCCATGTTTGGAAGGGTTTTACTTTCTATAAACTAATTCAACGTACAGAGCCTGAAAAGAGCTTTAATTTGATATATAATGCAGCCTTGTAGCACAATTTGTTGATTTTATATGAATTTTTTTCCAGTCGGCAGACGTTATAACTTTCACTCAATAATGGAAGGTTTTTGGGCATTAGGGCCTTATTATGGAGTGTTATGAGAGGTTTTAGTAAACAATTTTCATTTAGCCTCATAGAGCTTGCATTGAGCTTTAATTTGATCTATTATTTAGCCCTGTAGCTTAATTTGTTCACTTGTTATGATGCTTTTGCCCGAGGATGTACCAGAATTCCCCTAATTTTTTTCCAAGAGGCGTTTTTTGCACCGAAGCCCACTTCAGAAGAATCCAGAAAAGTTACTTATAGTCAGAGAGGTCTGAAAAAAAGTCAGCTAAGTCTATGCAATGCATGTATTTGTAATGATTGTGTGCTTTTCACTAATGAGGAGGCAGTTTTGACTAATTTGGAAGAGGTTGAAATAGGGTTCTGAGCTCTTAATGACAAATTTTGGCATAAAAAACAACAACCTCACCTTGGCTTACCTCAAAACTAGAAAACAGTACAATAAATAAGACTACGAAGATGCAGTTAACAGCCAACAATAAACAAAATGATCTCGTCTATATACAAAGGAATTCATTTTTATCATTGCAACTACTGGGTACAGTTCAGTCTTAACACTTAATTTGTTGCTTAGTAATAAACAGTTTTACAGTAGTTGCAAAACAAAAAGGTTATGCGAGGGCTGAAAATTGGAAATTTACTAGAAACATACAAAGAAAATGAGAATGAGAGATAGGATGATAGATGTTTTGACAAAAGAGGTGTAAACCACACCAGAGCACTCGCCAACCACCCACCACAATTGTAAGGCTGAGAAACAATATATACGAAGATACACCACTGTCAGACTTCATCAGGGCAACAGAACAAGTGGATCAGAAACCTTGAACACCATAGTAGGCACCAGGGTCTTGGCTCAAGAAAAAGGAAACCGTTCATGTACGCACAGAAACCAGAGGTAGCAAGTGGGGTTTGAATCCTCAACGAGCAACAGCCCAACAGGGCATCTCATTTCATATGCACTCCTCTTTCTTCATGACTCGGGCCACCATCTGGTCTGCCTCACACAAGCACACACCTCCCGTACAACAAACACACACACAGATATACAAGTTTAACCATTAACTATAACCTTCCTAAGTGAAGTGATAACCAGTCACTCTTACATCAGAAGCATACAAACAATCAAACAGGTTTCCGTATTCATGTCTTGATAATTTCATCATGTCCAGATGAACGAAGGCCTGACATATTGACAACAAGAGACAGATGTTGAAGGAGAACTTCAGATTACACACAAAGAAATGTTCAAATATTTCCTGACTCCACCAACACAACTCGGACCCTTTAGCTGGTACACCGCTTTGACCTGGTCTGTGAGATCCAACTTAGAGCTTTTAGAATACATCCCAGCAGAAAAATGGATCTACAAACACGAGTAAAGAAGAAAACAAAGTCAGAATAAAAAAGAACATTGCACTGAATGAACCACAACCCCGTTCGTTACCTTGTTGATTTTTTCCTTTGGATGTGTGAGCAAAGACGAAAAGTGTTGCAGAGCATTGCAGTTTAGAACTGCCTGTGTCTGTTCATCTGTGCCAGTGACAATGTTGCCCACAGCCCTCAAAGCTGCAGTCTGAGGAACAAAATATGTATTAGTTACATTTTAATGAGTTTTTCAGCATTTACTCCACAAACAGGTCATATAAATGATGAAGATTATCGGTGTTACTAAAGAGTAAAAGATAAAAAAAGTAGGACGAATTAGGATGAAAGATCTTTGATGTGATAGGCAGAACAAACCGAACAACACCCGTCTACCGCACAAAAAATACAGATCAATTTTTTATACAAAATGCATTGACTACCTCAAACAGTCTACAACTACCAGAAGTAAATAATTTATCAAAGTAGCGACTAGAACTAATAGAGACGTGAGATTGCAAAGAGTAGAGCACCAACTAAAGGGCATGATCATAGCAACAGTGACAAAGAGAGATGACAAATCCACAATGCGTCACAACAATGAGAACACTTTGCTAGTACAGCTTGCAACAATATTAATAACAAAAATAAAGGTACC